AGAAATTTATTTTATTCTTTCTTTAGTTTCTATTGTTGTAACAACAATTATATTGTCTTATACATATAATATGGTTTCACTATGGAGGTCTAAATTCCATAGATAGACGAATGCAAGAACTAATGTAACCTCGGAATAGAGGTGGCAATGTATGCTATCTGCCGATACCTATATTAAGTCCGGTTATCGTTATCCACTCAAGTGCATCGAGTAACAAAAACCATCGTGTGAATTCATAGAATGTAAAGGCACAAACATAAAGGTTGTAATATGAAATATGTACATGGTATGCCTTCATTGTTTTTTTACTTTGATACATTTCTCAAAAGAATAAATCAGAATTGAAAAAATAATATATATATATATATAATAATAAAAAATAAAACTTAACACAAAAAAATTAATTTGTATGACATAAATTTACGTGCACGTGCATTTTACGTATAACGATTTCGCGTTATTCCTTTTTTTTAAATATTTATTACGTCTAATCGTAGAGAAAAAAAAAAGAAGAAATTACTTCGTTTATTGACGAATATTTTTTTATTTTTTTACCAACGAAGCATATCGTTGCAATTCTTATTTTTTCTTCTTCTTCTTCCTTCTTTCTTTTTTTTTTTTTTACACGAATTAATTATTTTATCAAGCAGTTTAATATGTTTACGAATGACATAACAATAGCGGAAGATTCTTACAGTTTGTATACTTTATCGTGAAAAAAAAAAAATGAAAAAGAAAATAACGATTAAAATCACGAAGAAGGAAATTAATCCTTGACATATACAGATAAAAAAAAAAAAATAAAAATGAGACTAGGCTTTGGGTGCGAATGGGCTTACAATAATTTTACTCGGTCCTATATATTAGGTTGTCCCATAAGTTCCTTCCTTGTTTTTTTTTTATGCGAAATCAATAGACGATATTTATTGTTTATGGTTGATTTACCGTGTTGTATATGAACAATTCTGCTTTATTACCTTTTTATATCTCTCAGGAAACCTCATTATGCCCTCTTTTCAAAATTCTTGAAACTTATTTGAAAAATATTCATCGAGGTGCATTTTTATTTCACATTCGGATTTGTGATATTTATGCACAGAGATAATTTTTTAATGAATTAACAAAGTATAATTATTAACAAGTAATAATCGGATGGGGTAAAGTCTGGAAAGTGATCTGTGTGTGCGAATAAATTTAGAAATAACTTATGGGACCAACCTAATATAATATTATATTAATGCTTTCGTTTTTTAACGATAATAAAAAAGCGAGCCTAATAATAATAATTTTTGTTTCTTTGATTAGGACGATATAAGTATCAATTTAAGTATCATTGATGAAAAGTAAAAGTGTAATTCAAAGATTAAATTTAAAAAATTAATCACGTCTGAAGTGTGTTACATTGTTGAGTTAATTCAATATACCATGGTGCCCGTATGATCGTCGGATTGTTGCATTTCGTTCATTAATTAAGTGACATTTTTTACATGGATTAAACATATTTTATCGAATACGTAAAAATAAATAAATAAATAAATAAATAAATAAATAAATAAATAAATAAATAAATAAATAAAAAACGTTCCCCTAGAATTGAACTCGTACCGCCGGTGGTTTCGTCGTATCGTAAAGGAAAAAAAAAAAAATATACAGGTGCAGAAATTCATATTTGCTTAAAAATGATAAAACGAAGGAAAACGTTAGTCGTTTCGTAAACAAATAAACTGTTTTAATTGCATAGATATATTATGTGGAAACGTTTATCATCATTTTATAATTTCTCGTGAAATAACTTGCAAAAAAATAGAATGAACAAAAGTTTATTTTTTCCCGTTAACACAAACGATAAAACTCGATGATGTAATTTTAGAAAAGAGAGAGAAAGAAAGGGTTCGATTAATTGAATTGAAATAAATTGATCGAATGAACACTAAAGGAGTACCCGCATTGTTTCAATCAATAGAAACCGTTCGTTTATAGTTGATTTTAATTATTGATATATATATATAAAATTATTCGTTTTTCTTTTCTTTCATTTGTTATCTTTTGTTAATGAAAAAAATCCAAATTGTTTGTATGAATTTCACAGTGAAAGTATATTATTTTATTGTAAGTTCTTTATCAATTACACGCTCACATGTAAATACATGCATAAGTATTAATCGGGGGAAAAAATATTTCTTGACAAAAAAATTTGAACGATTGGTAAAGGCTAGTTAGACGTATATATATATATATCATATTGTATGCACAAATGTATATTCAAGTTCTTGCATATTGTATTTCGATTTTACGTTTTTCTGCATTTCATTCGTCGAGCTCTAGTAGTCTCGATAGCATACGTTCGTTGAATGCGTTGATAGGTCTCTTGGTAATAAAGAAATGAGGTGAGAAAGAGAGTGAGAAAGAGATAAAAAAAAAAAAAAGAAATAAATAAGAAAGAACACAATAAATGGCAAGTGGAAAAGAACGACTGGTAATTGTATCGCGTGGAACGAATTTCGAAAGATCACGAGATTTGCAATTTTATTTTTTTATATTTTTTCTTTTTTCCTTTATATATATATATATATATATAA